GTGTTTTGGGCACTCCTATATAGGTAACTGTCTCCTTTTCTCTTGCTGCTTTTAAGATTCTCTGCTTATCTTTCACCTTGGCTAATGTAATTATGATGTGCCTTGGTGTGTTCCTCCTTGGATCCAACTTCTTTGGGACTCTCTGAGCTTCCTGGAGTTCCTGGAAGTCTTTCCTTTGCCAGATTGAGGAAGTTCTCCTTTATTATTTGTTCAAATAACTTTTCCACCTGTTGTTCTTTCTCTTCTTCTAGTATCCCTATAATTTGGATGTTGGAATGTTCGCAGATGTCCTGGAGGTTCCTAAGCCTCTCTTCACTTTTTTTAATTCTTGTCTCTTCATTCTTTTCTGGTTGAATGTTTCTTTCTTCCTTCTGATACACCCCATTGATTTGACTCCCAGTTTGCTTCCCATCACTATTGGTTCCCTGTAGATTTTCCTTTATTTCACTTAGCATAGCCTTTTTTAAAATCTAATTTGTGACCAAAGTCAACCAATTCTGTGAGCATCCTGATCACCAGTTTTTTGAACTGAGCATCTGATAGGTTGCTTAGTTGTATTTTTTCTGGAGCTTTGATCTGTTCTTTCATTTGGGCCATTTTTTTGTTTTGTTTTGTTTTGTCACACCTGTTATGTAGTAAGGGGCGGAGCCTTAGGTGTTCACCAGGGTGGGGCAACCCACATCACTGTGTTGTGATGCTGTATGTGGGGGAGGGGTCCAAGAGGGAACGCTGGTGCTTGCTCTGCTCTCTGCAGGATTTTAGTCACTTCCCCTGCTACCCACAAGCAAACTGGGCCCTTCTGGTGCTGGTTCCCGGGTGGATGGGCTTGTGTATGTTCTAGGACCCTATGGGTCTCTCCAACGAACTCTCCTGTGAGGCTGGGAGTTTTCCCCACTGCCGCCACAGCCGTCAGAGGTGTTTTTAATCAGAGATTTGAAGCTTTATTTCCCCATGCTAGAGCCCTGGGTTGTGGGTCTGTTTCGCTCCCCAGTTGTTTCTCCTGGTTTATCTGAACCCTAATGTGGAACCACCTGCTCTACTACCTGCCACCTCACCCGCCCTGGTCCTCCAGCTGGTGGCTGCCAGTCTCCAACCCTCCTACCAGTCTGGATGAATCTTCTTTAACTCCTTAGTTGTTGGACTTCCATACAGTTTGATTTTCTGTCAGTTCTGGTTGTTTTTTGTTTTTAAATTTGTTGTTGTCCTTCTTTTGGTTGTGTGAGGAGGCATAGTGTGTCTACCTATGCCTCCATTTTGGCCAGAAGTCCCTCACATAGTCTATTCTTGATATGACAGTCAAAGAATCTCCTGGGAGGAAGTATAGGAGAGAGTGAGGATCCAGATGAGGAGGCTCAGCACCCTGTCTGCCCTCCCAGGGCACTCACCCGAGGCTGGGCCTGGAGCTCTATATACATATATTTTTTAAATTTTTCTGTAATGATTATTTTGTATTTTATAGTCAGAAGAAAAAAAGTTTTTTTGACTGTTGGAAACTGTGTTTTATTTATTTTTATCTTGTTAATAGTTCATTTTTATTGTATTTTTTCAAAAAAACCATTTTTTAAATTATTGTTCAACTACAATTGTCCTTATTTTTCCTCTGTTACTCTCCCCTGCCCTGCACACACCTCCTCCCACTTTCAGTCTTCTTTCCCTTCCCCCATTGTCCTTGTCCGTGGGTCCTTTATACTTGTTCCTTGCCTTGACTGTTCCCCTTCTTTCTCCGATTATTCCCCTCGCCCCTCCCGTCTGGTCACTCTGTTTGTTCTTTGTGTCCATGTCTCTGGTTATATTTTGCTCACTTGTTTGTTTTGTTGATTAGGTTCCACTTACAGGCAAGATCATATAGTATTTGTCTTTTACCATCTGGCTTACTTCACTTAGCATAATACTCTCCAGTTTCATACATGCTGTCACAAAGGGTAGGAGCTCCTTTCTTCTTTCTGCTGTATAGTGTGAACATACCATAGTTTTTTGATCCATCCATTAATTAACGGCACTTAGGCTGTTTCCAGTACTTGGCTGTTATAAATAACACTGCTATAAACATTGGGGTGCATAGGTTCTTTTGGATTGGTGTGTCAGGATTCTTAGGGTAAAATCCCAGCAGTGGAATTGCTGGGTCAAAAGGTGGTTCCATTTTTAAATTTTGGGGGGGAAATTCCATACTGCTTTCCACAGTGGCTGCACCAGTCTGCATTCCCACCAACAGTGCACTGGACTCCCTTTTCTCCACATCCCCGCCAGCACTTGTGGTTTGTTGATTTGTTTATGATGGCCATTCTGACCAGTGCGAAGTGGTATCTTAACTGTTCTAAAAACCAAAAAATTTTAAAAGCTTATAAAACTGATGTAATATGTGTATAAGAACAAGCATTTTCATTAGTTTTTCATTTTAAACCTGTTATACTTCTGTTTGGAGCCATGCTTCTATAGTTTTCTTGTCATTTATTTATTCACTTTTTTTAAATCTGGAACATTGGAAAAGAATAATGATGTTTAAGGTATATCATACAGAGATCATTCATTGTGTCGGTGCCTTACATGTAAGCTTACCTTTATACCGTGCCTTTAACATTACTTAAAAGCAATTGTCTTTTTTTTAGTCATTCCCTGTTTATATACCTTTTTATTCTAAAAAATGCCCTGTAAAAGTCAGAGAAGTTTTTTAAAGGAATTAATTGACTTTGTTGGAAACCTTTTATATATCTCCTCTTTTTATGCTTCAAAATTATAAATTTTATATGCAGAAATATGCAATAAAAATGATTTAAATGTTTTTATGTTACACAAATTTCTTTTTAAACAAGTGTGATTTCAGAGACACTGCACCAAAATTTAAAATCTGTTGTATTATAGCCTACATATCGTGCAACTTAGTTCTTTATAAATGTAGAAAACCTTAAGATTAGTTTTAGGGTTTTTTTAAACTAGAAGTTTATCTGGTGCTGTTTGCTCACCTTTTAAATCAAACAGTCCTGTTTTCCATTTCTCCGTGACTCACCAGAGGTTCCCTCCAGAATAAATGTATGTGGCTGTGAGTAAACTCTTTTTTTTTTAAATTTTATTTAGTTATTTTTCAAGTACAGTTTTTTTGTCTGTTTCTCCCATCCCAGCCCCCCCGACCCATGCTCCCCACCTCCCTCCCATTTCCTCCCCCCCAGTCCTCATCCCTGTGTCTTTCATACTTGTTCCTCAAAATCCCTCCCCTTTTTTCCCTTTCAATTCCCTTCCCTCTCCCCTCTGGTCACTGTCCCCTTGTTCTCTATTTCAGTGTCTTTGTTTTTATTCTGTTTGCTTGTTTGTCTTGTTGTTTAGCTTCCTGTTAAAGGTGAGATCATATGGTATTTGTCTTTCAATGCCTGGCCTATTTCACTCAGCATAATGCTTTCCAGTTCCATCCATGTTGTTGCAAAGGGTAGTAGCTCCTTCTTTCTCTCTGCTGCATAGAATTCCATTGTGTATATGTACCACAATTTTTTGATCCATTCATTTACTGACGGGCACCTAGGTTGCTTCCAACTCTTGGCTATTGTAAATTGTGCTGCTATGGACATTGTGGTGCATAGGTTCTTTGAAATTGATGTTTTAGGATTCTTGGGATATAATCCTAGCAGTGGAATTGCTGGGTCAAAAGGCAGGTTGATTTTTATTTTAGTAAACTCTTTATAAAGAATTTAAAGGAGATATTTAAAACATTTCACTGATGTAACTTAACCATCCTAGCAGGGAGTAAGCTTATCCTTCTGTATAGTTACTTTGTTCATTCAGTTGTTCACTCGTTCAGTCAGTCATAGAACACTTACACATCCCCTCTGATGTCAGTGGGTATAGGGTAATGGACACATAATTAGGAACAAATACATATATTAAAGAACTTGTACAGTGGGGATGAAAAGATGCACAGAAGATTCTAGAGTATATATGTATGGCAAAACACACAAGAAGTATGGAGGTTCGGAAGAGGGAAAGATTTCTTCCAGGGAGGAAAGGGAAAGTGGAGAAGGGATCTTGGTCAGGAGAAGTCATTTTTCTGGGGTCTTTAAAACAGGTCAAGGAACCTTTTGACATTGTACAGTCTGTATTCACTGTTGTAAAGCATATCTTTTTCCCTTAGCTGATCTAACAATCCTCTGGTGGAAGTGGTGGGCCTCCCGTGCACCTTTCACTGGCGTGACAGTTTGCATTTGCTACCTGTCCCAGACACTGCCAAATAGTTTAATTTTTCATGAATGTGGCTTTTCTTTTTATCATTCCATTTGAAATTGTTTAGTTTGCAGAATTGATAATACAAAGATTTAAACAATTCACTACTGAACTTTGTCTCATCTACCTTCAAAAAAAATGATTTGTCATTGTTGTTGAGTTGAAATGAATAGTAAAAGTCACGCGCTCTTGAAAATTCCCATTACTTGGGCGTCATGTTTCTGCACTAAGCCCTTAGAATTAAGTATTGAACAGAACAGACATGGTCTCTGCCCTCCTGGTGCTTGTAGTGAAGAACAAATCATTACATTGAGTCTATTGTTATAATTAAGTTAGGTATAGTACAGGTTCATTAAATGTAAAAGAAAGTTTACATCAAAGCAACCTCTGAATTTATATTTTTCAGTATCAGCATTACTTTAAATGAACACTTTAATGTTCATTATTATTTTTAAAAATTGTTTTTTTTTATTGATGCATGCCCATCAGAATGTGATGGATCAAGGTCCAGGGAAAAATGACAAGTACTTAAATTCTGTGGTGTGTGTGTATGTGTGTGTGTGTGTGTGTGTGTGTGTGTGTGTGCATTTAAAAATCTATGCCTTTATAAAGGAATGGGGAAACTAGCATTTACTAAGCTTCTACTAAGCAGCACCACTGTGTTAGACACTGTATACAAAATATGGTAGGAATGGTGTCCAAAAAAACGGAAATGAAGGGGAAATTCAAGGCATTAATAGGGAAAGGAAAACCTTTGACAATTTCTTTTCACCTCTGTTTTTTCTTCCTACAAGGTTCTTCTTGATGAACTGTCTTCTACTAAACACTGGGCATCCATGCATGTTTCAGACCACAGCGGATTTCACTACCGACAGTTTTTGCTAAAGTCTTTGATTAACCAAACTGTGAAAGACAGTTCTGTATTGGAACAAAACCCTTTGAAAAGTGAGCCAGCCCTCCTTCCAAAAGACGAAGAAGCAGCAGCTTCAGCAGAGGAACCAAGGATAAATATTCCCCATCTTCTTGAAGAAGAAGTTGAATTCAGCACTGATCTTATTGACTCCTACCCAGGACATGAAACCCTTTGGTGTCATAGGTAAGAGAAAGGAAAATTCATTTCCTGCACGAAACTGTGCATGCCTTTGTGAGCGCTACAGAAGTGCTTGCATCGGACTCCTGCCTGCCTGGGCAAATGCGGTCATCTGCTTGTGGAGCTTTGCCGGAGTGACTTGACGGTGACAGTATTACCATATCCTTCTCGTGACCATTGTCAGTAGGAGGTTTCTCACATGGATGTTTGCTTACAGCTTAGGGTGATGTTCAGCCTTGACTGCACAACAGAATAGCATGTTACTTCCAAACTAAAAGTTTCTGGACTCCTTCCTTGAAGATACTGATACGTAGTGTATGCAAAATGGAGCACTGCCATCTGCTTTTTTAAAAACAAAGAATCCTACCAGGTATATTGGATGCACAGTCCGACCATTCATTAGAACCTGAGAATAATTGAGCTTTATTGTTCTTCAGGTACTTATTAAGTATAGTCTCTTGACACATTTTTTTTAAAGTAACAACTTCATAACTTGAGTCCTGAGCACATTTGACAGTAAAGTAACTTTCATGTTGAAATGAAGTCCAGGTATGGGAACCTCTGGTTAATTTTGGATCGTATTCTAGTTTGATGCATCTTCATCTTTATAAACACAGTTTCTAATTAGGTCATGGGATTCTATTTATAGACAAGAGACTTGCCTATGCTAGGTAGAAGGTAGGTTTTTAAATATTTGTATTATTTTTAAAGTTAATTGAGATTTCCCCCCATTTTCCAGTCTGCATGTAGTTAGAAGATGGAAGACAATCTCCCCACTTTGGCACCTTCATAAATACAGAATTTTTTTCTCTTAAAGACAGGACACTCCCATTTTCAAGAAAGAAAATATATCGACTTATGTGTCATTTTGGTGTTATAGATTTTTGTTGCTGTTTTATATTTAAGCCCATTAATAGGCTCAGAGAATTAAAAATATTTTTGTGTTTGAGAGAGAGCTAAATTAGTGGAACAGAAATGTTAAAAATTAATTGGAGTTAGGGGGAGACTGGGGAAGAGGTAGATAGTTGGAGTGGCCTCTGTATTATACATGCCAGTTTCTACCACAGATTCATTGCTCTTAAAGGAGTTTATCTGTCCTTTAAGTTATGTTCTCTATTCAGGGGTGTCCAGCCTTTTGGTGTCTCTGGGCCACACTGAAAGGGCTGTCTTGGGTCACACATTAAATGCACAAACACTAATGAAAACTGATGAACCCAAAAACGGTTGTAAGTAAATTTATGATTTTGTGTTGGGCCACGTCCATGGGGCTGTGGGTTGGATACCCCTGGGTGTACCTGTCTACTGCAGGAGATGCTGGGAAAGTGGATAATACTACATTTTTAAGGGATTAGAGGTACGGATATGAATGAAAAGATATAACAACCTAGGACCTGTGTAGTTTATTGTGTACAGTAGACGTGCACTCCACTGAGTCAAATTTTTGTAGATTAGGCACGAGGATTTTCATTTTTAATGAATAACTCCACGCGATCCTCAGGGCAGTAGAGGAAGAATAGGAACTGCATCCTGTAGTTCCTGCTTCACCCAGAGCCCGGCACATTCCCAGCGCAGGTAGTGATTGGTTGAGGGGGAAGTTGGCATGGTTTCTAGTAACAACACCAACTAGAGGGGATTGTTCTTATTAAAGGAAGTATTGGATGGAGACCATGGACTAAGCTTCTAGAGAAACTAGTTAATCCTCCCTTTTTTTTTCAGACTCACTTGTCTTTTGAATTATCAACAAGGTTGATTTTTGGTTTTGTATTTTAATTTATAGCAGAGAGTGGCTAAGACCTATGTTTGGTTTCCTATTATAGTCTACGAAGAATAAGAACTTCAAATGACTGTCATCATCTCAGGCAATGCTATTTAAAAACCTTTTTCACAAATAAACCCATACATAATCTGGGCTTGTCTGTCAAAATACCCAGAGACTTTATCATCACTACTCTGCCACCTTCTCCCAGATGACTGTTGGTTACAAATGGAGCAGTGGACTGACTACTGTATGTTTTAAAATAACCAACTTTTTTAAATTTGTTTTTCTTGAAAAGCTTGACTTTGTGACGTGATCTTCCTTTTCTCTATACTGTCTCTCCTGTTTCACAGGCGGCACGTTTTCTACCTTCAGCATCACTTAAGTGGTAGGTTTCCTCACAATGTGACCCAGTCGTCACCTGCAGACAGCCCTGGGGGCCCTTCTAGTGACTCGCACCACATCCCAGCAGGCCCTCACTCAGCTCAGGCAATGGAAGTGGATGGACTGAGTGACTCCAGCAAGCAAGGCTACTCCCAGGAAACAAAGCGCCTGAAGCGGACCCCGGCTCCAGATTCCCTGGGCCTGGAAATGGAACACAGGTTCATCGATCAAGTGTTGTCCACCTGCCGGAACGTAGAGCAGGCCAGGTTTGCCAACGCGTACAGGAAATGGCTGGATACGCTGAGTCAGTGAAAGAGCTGGACTATTCCTGCTCCCCTTTTAGTGCAATATTGTTTTCCTTTCTTATTTACATAGCTGCATGAATTGTTTGCTATTATTAGCTAACCATATAGTCTTCATCTTTAGGTTAAAAGTCCTAAAAAAAAATCTTTCATTGTATTTATTTTGTTAAGAACTGGCATTCCTTTGGGGATAAAATAATTGTGTAGTTCCTTCCTGCTAAACAGGAAGTCTTAATTTTTTTCCTTTTGTAACTTCTCATCCTTTATACTTCTCCGCTTCTGTCCTTTCAAGGGAAGCCCATTTCTAGGCTTCCTCTCACGTGGTTCTCCTAGTTGGTTCACACACACCCCACCCACCTCAGTGCAATTGCGGGATAGAGTCATTTTTTTAAATTAGAACTTTATGTTGCAGTTAAGCTTAAAAACAATGCAAATGCAAAATTACTCAGTCTGATTGTTTTGAGAATCAAATGGCCAGATGGATGGGTATGTGAAAATATAAACCATTTCTTTCTCTTGCATATTCTGTTCAAGCTACAGACCAAGATAACCAAAGTCAGAAGTATTGAAATTTATATGAAAATAATGCTTCCAATGTAACCCATTTTTAAAATGGTTATTTTAAGATAATAATAATGATTTTAAGAGTTTATGTAATTGCAGTACTGGAAAATTATTTTTATTACTAGTTTTGATAGATTGTTTTTACCTCAAATTTGGTATATGCCAAAAACACTCAAGTCAGCGCTTACAAAAGTCAATTTTTTAAAGAAACCTGGAATGCCATTTTTAGTTATTACTACTTATGTTCCTTCCATTTCATCATGAAAAATGGGAGAAATATGCATAGAAATGTATCCATAAAAATCTTCCTTTTTAAAAAATTTAAGTTATTGAGGATACACTGGATAAACTACAAAATTTTTATGAAGTGGTTATTAAGAGTTTACTGGCAAAATCCAGGGAGACAGAATAGTCTTGAAGGTTAGTTCTTCAACCTTTATTTAAAAAGTAAAACAATTTTAAAACTTTGCTACTAAACTTATCAGGGATGAGATACCAAAGTATCCACCTATAGCTGTATCTTTTCAATCAAAAGGGCTGGTGTTTTTCAGGTTGGTGCGGCAGGGGTGGGGAAAGGGCCAGGTAATGTCTATTTTCTAGTATATTTCCCCCGTCATAAATGGTTTGCATTTTTTATTTCTGCATCTTTTTAATTTTCCAATATGTTCCATATTTTTTGTCATTTTCACTTTTGTCTGTTTTTTCTTATCTGTCTTATTTCAGGGACATATTCTGAAGACATTCTCCTCCCTATTTCTAATGAATTCCATACTTCATTATACATACACGCACACACAATACAAATGTGAAGTCCTCTAAAAGTTCCCCTCGTGATGGAAACTCTCTTCTGCCCTGTGTCTATAAAGTGAGTAACAGCGGCAGGAACAGGTGCAACACCAGGCTTTGCTTATTCTCCTCTTTACTTGCTAGATCACTAACTAGTGGGAAGAGACAGAGGTGGAGACAGGCAGACCTCTCCTGTCTCACCACTGTGGAAACCCTGGACCTGAATGAGGCACATTGCCATCAGGGAAAAGAGGAAGTCCTTTCCTTCTGCATCATGATTTTGTTGGGTTGCAAAATGTTGAGCCTTAAGAACACCAGAAAAATTGTCCAGCTTGGCCTCTGTGGACAGAAGCTGTTCTTATCTCTTAAGGGCAAAATTACCCTTTTGTAGCTTTTACAGTATTTTAGTGAGAAAATAATTGCCATTATGAATATAATTCCACGGCCCTTTGTATACAAGACATATTTTGATTCAGATAAATACCTCAAGGTCCACCTAGACCTCTGTGGGTGTAACCATTAGTTTGTGATCTTCAGCACCTGCTGGGTTGGGGGCAGTTGTGCAGAAAAGACACAGGGGATTCTTCCCCTCCCACTAACACGTGTTGCCAAATTGTGGCCTCACTCAGTATTAACCTTTTTTCCAAGCATCTTTTAAGTATCCCAAGTATTAGGGCTTCCTCTGCTTTTGATGTTAGAGTGTTCAGGACATGAGTATAGACAGAACCCTGTGGATCATCGGCTGAACTGTACAGTGCTCCGCATCTTTGCATGCCTTCCACAGAGTGTCTTACTCATCTTGTGAACTGTCTTGTCTCTTTTAAGGCTCCTAACCCATCCCTTTCTGAAGCCATGCAGTCCTTTAATATCTTGGTCTCTTGTCTTCCTAATGAAATTTTAAGTAGGGAGAGAAAATATAAACATCCAAAGGGTACTGTTTGTATGAGATTTTTCTGTAATACTTGATTTGTAAAATTTTTATTTTTCAAGTGTTCATTCACAGAAAACCTAGTATTGCTCTATATGGTTGTACTTTTTTCCTAAATGTTTTACACCCAAACTCACTAGCTAAAGCATGGTCGTTCTGACTGAATGAGCTCATGGAGAGTGGAAAGGATGTGTCTACATTCAGGGACCTGTTAGTCTTCTGGCTTTGTATAGATATGTTGTTGTTAAAAGAAAAGATGCTTCAGGTTGCACACATTTCATCAAACTTCCACTGGAAGATGGTAGGCCGTAGTACCATCCTGTGGATCGTGAATACCACTGACATGCAGAAAAGCAGTAAGACTGTCAATATCTTCCCCACCACCACCCCACCGCCTTTTTTTGAGTATGACTATTTTGGTAATATGGTATTCCCAGATTCTACTTGCACATTTGTGAAGATTTGTTAAGTATTTATTAAATTAACAAATGATTGGCCGAAGAGGGGAAAGATCAATCATGAGTGATGGATCGAGGGAGCCATGATGGAGAAATTCATGGATTAGAGCAGTGGGTTGTGAATGAATGATGTGTTCTAGCTTCATGATACTTCAGTGGACCTACTGCATATAGAATCAGCTAATTGTTATAGTATGTAACTGACTTGTTTAAGCTTGTTAAATTCCACCTAATAAGTACACTTCAGTAATTATCAATTAACTGTAATATATACAAAAAAATTCACAGAACTAAGGAAGCCCACTGACATTAAGAACACTACTTTCTGTTCTGATGTTGGAGAACAGATCTTACCAACATAGCCAGAGCCACTTGGAGGCATCTGAAAAACTTCTTTGATTTTAAAGAGTTGATCTGTACCTGTGGATGGGTAGTTATTTTGCACTTTTCCTTTTCCTTTTCCCCTCCCAAACTTGAACTGTGGACCTTGTAGATATTTCTTAAACCTGTGTTAGTCACTTGTTTTAAACTTAAGGATTTGCTACCTATTAGTGTCCCCTTTTTCTTTTCTAGGTTTTAGCATTTTACTACCTTTCTGGAAACTTTGGACAGACTTTCAGTCATATTTCTTATTCCCGTTATACGGTTCTAGTTTAAATCAAAGGCTTCATTATTAGCAAGACTAAATATATACACATTATCACTAAAAGCCACTTAAATCTTCAGATAAGGGCTTATGTAACAAGATGTAGAAACAACAGTTCTTGGATTTTTATGTGGCATTTTGGTGGAAAGCATGTATGGTGGCAACTCTTGCATCATTTAGATATATTCAGGTCACATCAACTCATGCTTGTTGAGACACACGTGTGTGTAAAGAGAACTTTTAATATTGTTGAGAACAAATTACCAGTCTAGTAATTATAGCACAAGGTGGTATCTAACACAAGGACTAAATATAATTTGGGAGTGCAACTCCCATTTGTACAATAATCTATCTCAGCTTTAGTTCCCTTGAATTGCAGAAGATGCTAAAGATTCAGTTATCAAAGGAAGTAACCATCCTTTTTTTTTGCATCTTTTTTTGCATAGAGCTTTTGTAAGCTGACAGTTTTTTTGTTACTAGAAAATTGTGTTTTAAAACGTGAACATTCAAAGTATGCTAGAAAATTTGAACAGCATTGTAACAACTGAACCTTTTGTTCTTCTGAATAAATTTCTCAGAACCGTTGCAAATGCTAGCACTTCGCGAGCTGCCGCCTCCTTGTGCTCGGGTGTCCTCGGTAATGTGCTCCTGTCTAAGGAAGTGTGTGCAGGCACAGGGAAGCTCAGGCACGTTCGGTGTGATGAGGGCAGTGACCCAGAAAAACCAGCCCTGAGGATTCTACTTAATGTCACACGGTGTCTTTAAAAATAATAATAATAACAACTATACATACTGTGTTAATTTGAGTGCCTTTCTTACTTTTGGGGGGAGCAAGATTATGTGTAAGTCTACTATCTAGGTAGAAAACAGAGGACAGAAGTGTCATCAAACAGTTGATTGTGACTCATTTATTCCAGTCGCTACGCATGGTTCCCATGAAGTATCTTATCCTTTAATGAGATAGTGATACGAGCAGGTGGGATGTTCTGGTTTGCATTTCATTAGCTATCTTTAAGCACCCTACCTAGAAGAATAGGTTCTTTTGCAGGGTCGGAGACATCACATTTAAAGGATGGCATGTGAACAATTAAAACATCAGCCTGTGTTCAAAGGGAAACAGTGGCTCTCTGCCCTAAAAGAAATGCCAATGAATCCTTTGCCTCACTTTAAGGACTTTCAAGAATTCCCTCCTGAGGCCAGGCTACATAAGATAGTTGAAAAGGAAAATAAATGGGACCTTGATCCTTTCAGACATTGGAGGGAAAGAAGTAAATACATGAAATTTTGAATATGGCATTTCATGTACTGGGGTATGGAAGGGGGAGGGATGGGAGTTCCATATTTCAACATAGCAAGTAATTTTTAATTGTTATTTAATAAAAATAGCTAAGGATTCCAAAGTGCTTCTCAGACGACTATTGAATAATATATTCCACTAAATGTCATGTTCACAGTTGAGACAGCAAACCATTGTGTCACTTGTGGATCCACAGTGGGAGAGAACCTCAGGCTCCTGGCCTTGACTTCTGCATCCTCAGCAGGTCCTGTTAACACTGTAAAACCAAACTCTTTGCTTTAAAAACAAAGAGGGGGAAGGAGGGAGAGCAGTAGCTTAGTCTGCTCAAGAAACCTTGTGCTTCCAAGAATAAATATCATATACATAAACATGTATATGTATATAATATTTATTTACGTGTATATAAATAGTTTGTGCTTTGGGGCAATAATATGGTCTACAGAGCTAACCCCGGCATTACTTTAATTAGTCTTGTTATTATTCCTCAGGGTGTAGAAGACTTAGTCAATTTAGGGCAAAATTTTATATTCAGTGGCAAAAAAAGAAAAGGCAAAAATATACTAAATATATTACTAGTTCTTAAAATTTTAGTGTAGATAGTATTTTTTATAAACCACTCCCGGCACAGTAGCATGTAGATGCTTTGCGACTGCCTCATCGCTCACCCTGCTGCTTCTGTCCCTGCGGCTCTGCCATGAATGTTCTCTTCCACGCGTCTTCCATGGACACAGTTTCTGTATTGTCTCATTTTTCATACTTGGCGGAGGTGGGGGTGTTCCAGTTGACATTCGCAGTTTTTGGAAATCTTGTTGAGGAAACGACTACTGTTTTCAAACTGACAATGATTTTGCTTCTTAAAACTTCAGTCTGCCTGAGAGGGTGTTTGATGGCCAGACCCTACGTGTCCAGTGTGTTGCATGAGGCTTTGTACCTTGTAGGAGCTCAACAGTTCAGAATTGTTCCAGGTTAGAAAATGGAAACTAGATTGTCTCTTTCTTCTTACCATGGCCGTTATTCTTAGTGTTAGGAGAAATAAACTGCAAAAGTACACAATCAGGTTCAAACATAAAAGGCAAAGATTGTACATGAAATTCAGACACTTTTAAAGCATGTGTGTGTGTGTGTGTGTGTGTGTGTGTGCGCATCCGTATATTTATACTTTAAATGAGATTTGGCACTTGAATTTATGTCGTGGTTTTACAAAGAATTTTCTCTGAGGAATTTTGTTTTCATGTTTGCTTAAAGTGCTCCTATTTTAGAGGACTTTTTATTAGACCAACTCCCTCAAACAAAGTTGGAACCCTAAACACAAGTGCCCGTACACCTGAATTTATCAGATATCTGTGCGAACCATGTTAAGTCTTTGGTTGTGCACAAACCAGTGGCTTTTCTTCCACGTCGTCAGGGAATCAGCCCTAAGTTTATGTATGGCAGTCACTGTCTTCAGACTACTATGCAGCATACTTCAGATGTTTATTTGTCTTTATAAAGTTATTGATAATAAACCTGAGGTTTTTAACGTCATTTTTAATGTCACAGGGATGAGCAGTATTACACGTCCAGATGTTGACTCATACCGCCTTGTACCAAAAGTGCTCATGTGTTTCCCTCCCTCACAGATGTCGTCTTGCCTTTGGAGCAGGTATTTTTTTCATACTGAATACAGAATGAGAGTAGACTGAGTGCAATCATAGTAGATGCTCAATAATAGTCACTTATTAACCTACCATCCAAATAACAGTGAGCCTTCAGAAAGGAGACTGTTACCCTTCGCCGAGTTTATTTTTAGGGTAATATAGGTTGAAAAATTATGTCACTTGACATGCACTTTCAGGCTTATTTAGGTGGGAGTTAGTTACATGTAATAAAATATTATTCATGTAGAACATGGTCTGAAGATAGGAAATGTGAAAAGTTTAGTGTCTTTTTGTGCAAGGCACATTAGTCAATGCAATTAAGTGTCTGAGTAGGCTGCTGAACTCGAGAGAGAACTCCCGCAGTCTTCCGCAATCAGATTCTGTGTCGGGATATCCACTGTTACCCAGTTTAGGTTCTATTTCTTTCTCCCTGAATCTTGGTTGCTTTCCAATGTCTTAAATGTCTTTAAAAAACATCTTTAAAATAAAGGAAAAGTTTTTATGAATGATATAGTAGATTCAGAATCTATTAATTTGTAGCTTTCAGAGCATTTTTAGAATGTGCTGAAATTCCAGTGGAAATTGGAAACATTTAAACAGTGAAACATTCCACCTGAGCTGTGAGGAGAAGCGTGTGGAGGGCCATTGTAATCAAATGTCGACTCCTAAAGAGGCTTCTGATGTGTGACTTTGACGCTGGCTCCTAACGGAGGTGACCCTGTCAGTAACGTATTTTGGTGCGTGTTGTTCTAGAATAATGGAATGTGCACTAGATCAACTTGGTTTTGAGTTGGATGAAATAAAAGTTGAGGTATTATAAGTAAGCTGAATGTTTATACGTTCTGGTAAAAACTAAAAAAAAAGAAAGGGGAATAAAATGATAAAGGTCAATAATTTTTTTCAGTAGCTTCTAAATGTTTTAAAATACAAGTCTCTTGAACACTAGGCAGTTGGTTACTTTAATGCTGAGAAACTTTAAAGTTCTCAGATGTGATATTCTGCTGTTAGTCAGAATTCACCATCCACGTTAATTTTACATTGCTTGGAGATTTTCTTAAATGATGCATTTAAGTAAGTTGCACTCAGTATTGCTTTAAGATTCTGCTGTAGGACACGGTTAAATGGACAAGTTATATATAAGATCTGCAACGCAAGGTCAGATCCTGTGCATTGAAGGTACATTTGGCTAATTTATTTTACTGAAGATACTAATTGTATTCACTCTGATTGCACTGCTGTTTAAGAAAAACTATTTTCCCACCCAAACCAGTCCGCCTTGAAGTTCCTTTAGCTCTTATCATATACTAATTGACATTTTTAAGGGTTCAATATTTTATTAATTCTTTTTACAGTTAAACTGTATCCAGGGGTGTCCAACTTCTTGGCGTCTCTGAGGTACACTGGAAGAAGAGTTGTCTTGGGCCACACATTAAACACACAAACACTAATGAAAACTGATGAGCAAAAAAAAAAGGGTTTTAAGTAAATTTACGATTTTGTGTTGGGCTCCATTCATAGCCATCCTGGGCCACCGTGTGCAGCCCACAAGCTGCAGGTTGGACACCCCTGCAGGGAGCGTATACTACCTTACAGAAGAATAAAAATAGATTCTGCAGGAAGGTATGTGTGGAGGGTGCTATGGTGTCCTGGGAGTCCGTACTGCATAGTGCTTGAAGCATGATGCTCGATTCTAAGACTAATGAGATGATTAAAGATTACCTATATCAGTTCTGTAGGTAATTACCTACAGATGACCTGTTTCAGTTCAATAGAAATAACTGTGATTCACATATGTAATTTTTAACTGTCTGGTAGCCACACTTTTTAAAAAGGTGAAACTAACTTTAATAATAATAATATATTTTATTTAACCCAGTGTATTAAATATTATCCTTTCAGTATGTGATCAATATACAAAATTATTGACAGAGCTTACCTTCTTTTCCTTCAAAATTCAGTGTGTGTTTTGCACTCAGTGCATCTCAGTTCCGACTACACTTCAAGGCTCAAAGGGCCACATGTGGCTAAGAGCTACTGTATCGGACAGTGCAGACTCATAGGGTACCAAGTATGACTTTCTTTTAAATTGGGAGATGGTCGATGAGGTAAGCATGAAATTATGGTACTTTAAAAATTATTTAGTGTACTCAGAAAAGTATCTGATAGAACTATCCACTCGTTTCCCTTCGTCTTCATTTTAAATTTGTCTAGAAGTAGGTTTAACCCATTTCAATTTGCCAAGCATTATTATATAAGGAGGAAGAAATTCCATGCCATGTAAAATACCATTATATGCTAATTATAACGATACATTATCAACAACACAACATTTTTTGTTCACTAAACTGTCCTGTTTCTTCAAAATAATAGCTTAAATTGCATGTTAATTGTATATCTGTACCAATTTTGTTTTTATATTATTCTTACAGTACAATCATGTGCATTAACAAACAGCCCTGGGAGTCTCACCTTCCCATGCGGCTGTCTTCCAGTACTTACTGGTGTGCTTGTTAAGTTGTGATGAGTGGCAGAAAAATAGAATGAACCGTTCTTTTTTCCATTAGATTTATTTTTATTATGTGACCATGCACCAAGCCAGCTATAAGTAATTGTATTTCTGTAGAATATGGAAAATAGTGTTCCTGTCTTATCTTTGCTAAATGTTTGCAATTTCTAAGTAAACTTCTCATCTCCTGAAATGAGTGTGGAGCGTGATTTTATTTTATTTCTCCAATGATGTTTTAAACATAACTCCAGTCTGCCAGATTATCCTGTTGAACCATTCTGGTGGTGGTAGTAGGGTGGAGGTCTGAGTTGTTTCTCAGTGACCAATGATTTGATTACCTACATTTATAGAAAGAATAAAATTGTCACATGTCTAGGACATAAAAGAAATGTCAAAAGCAAATTAGAGGCATCGTCACACTTGTTTGTAGAGCACATTAACAATGACTAATTGACTTATGAAAGTCATCATGACTACAGTTGCTTTCTCCATATTTCAGGTGGAGTTACCTCGCTGGAAATGAGCCATCTATTTCAGTGTTATACCCCATGTGTTCTTAATTTTGAGTCTCATTTCTGTGTGAGATAAGCCAGGTAGATGGACAGCATTCAGAGTCACTTAAGCGGTATAATACATAAGTGGACTCTGAAAAGTATTTGATGAGTGGACACATTTTATACTCAGATTTTAAATATTTTAAAAGGCTATTTTGTCGGAAAGGCCTTTTATTCCTTTGTCCCGCCGTGACTATTTATGGTCATGTTGCAGATATTATTATATTATCACTACTATTATCTAATCTATTTCTGGTAGGAAACAGGGTATTGAATTTATTTTGCATTATGTCCAAGTACCCCAAACAGTGTTTAAAACTACTGTATTGTTTTGCCTTTATATGCTGGTAAAGGGAACTAGCTTATTAAAGACAGTTTCAATAGTCATCAGATTATATAAGAAGTTTGACAACAATTAACGTTAGCCAAAGCTTCTCTGGACGATTGCTCTCCTTAGGAGCATACATCTTGAAATGGAAGATTAACAGTAATAACAGAGGCAAGACGATACACCAGCCAATTACATTTTTTAAATGTGATAAACCTTTTATTATTTGTCTACAGTTGGCAGTAACACTCTTCTCATGTTGGAAGCTCAAGGTTTTGCTTTTGATGCTCTGTTCTTTTTAAGGTGAAGAAGTGATGGAAAAGTACACAATTAATAAATGCAGAAAAATCATTGAACAAAACCCCCAATCCTTTTTTTTTTATTAAAAAAATACGCAAACTAAAACTAGAAAGAAACTTTCTTAAGCTGATGAAGGATGTCTTTGCAAAATACACAGTTAACATCAAAATGAAAGGCTGCAGTCTTTCTCCGTCGGAGCAGGAGCAAGATGTGGTGTCTGCCCTTGTCACTTTTATTAGACTTTCAACAATTCTGAAAGGAAAAGGTATCCAAATTGTAAAGGAAGAATCAGAACTGTTACTCTTCACAGATGACAAGATTTTGTGTACAGAAAATCCTAAGGACCTACTTTTAAAAAAAAAAAACTTAAAAGAATTTAGCGAGGTTGCAGGGTACAAATAAATTCTTTTATACTTGTAATAAAAAGTATAAAATAAAATTAGGGAAATGATTACATTTAACAGTGGCATCAAAAATAAAATTCATAGGAATAAATGTAACAAATGCAAAATGTTCTGAAAATTATAAAAGTGTTGAAATAAAATCTAAATAAGCAAAAAAGTAGCCTATGTTTATGGGTCGAATCACGACATTACAATGGCAGTCCTCTCCAAACTGATCTACACATTCTACAGAATCCCTAGTAGAATCCCACCTGACTCTTTAGAAATTGATGAGCCGGTTGTAAAATTTATGTGGAATTCAATGGACCAAAAATAGCTAATACAACCCTTTTAAAGCAAGAGGACTCAGTTTCCAATTTCAAAAAAGACTCCAAAGCTACAGTAATCAAGACAGTGCGGTACTGACAAGGATAACAGGGACCAATGGAATAGAATTGCAAGTCCAGAAAAAAATAGTACATGTATGGTCGACTGTTTTGACAGTGGTGCTGTGACCATTCAGTACAGGGAAAACAGTCTTTCCAAAACATAATTTTGGGACAACTGAACACCAACACGCATGCAAAAGAGTTAATTTGAATTCCTACCTCACACCATACACAAAAATTAACTCAAAAACGATTAAAGGCCTAAATGCAAGAGCTAAAACTATAAATACTCAAAAAAATAGGTGTAAATCTCAGGGGCCTTTCATTAGGCATTTTTCAGTTTTAACATCATATGCAAAAGTAACAGAAGAAAAATAAATTGGACTCCTAAATTAGAAACTTTTGTACTTCAAAGGACACTATCAAGAGAGTGGAAAGGAAAGCCACAAAACAGAAAAGAGTATTTGCAAGTACTAGATCTGATACGAGATGACTCTCCAGAATGTATTTTCAAAAGGCCCTTACAATAGTGAAAAGCAAATGACCCAACTAAGTTAACGGACAAAGATTTAAACATTTCTTCATGGAAGAATACAAATGTTCATAAGCACATTGAAGGATGTTTAACTTGATAATTCATTAGAAAATGTAAATCAAAGCCACACTGTGATACAACTTAATATTTTCATGGATGGCTATAATAAAAAAATGGAATTCCAAGAGATGTTAAACTTTTATTTTAACATCCCTAGGAGGCTATGTTTTTAGATGAATATGTACTTAAATAACTTTTTCAATGCTCCTATTGTTGTGGTTGGGTGAAAGGGAAGACTCACAGTCCAGCAGATTATCACTGCTGGCCAATTCAAAGTCGACACAGTGTGCCACCTGAAAAAGCGTGTGCAGTTATTTCTTTAAATAACATATTTGAATAGCTGTCCTTTATCCAAATTAGGTGTCAGGGAAAATGATAGCTAGGGCTGAGAAATATTCCAAATTGAAAACACAACTAAATAGGAATAAATATGCCTTGGGATTTGTGAAGTTGCTTATCCCTGTTGAGTAGAGTATAAATAAATATATATATCAAAGCTGAAATAAAGGACCAAAAGGGAAAAAAATACGAAGATACTGAAACCAGCTCTGGCTGGTGTGGCTCAATTGGTTCGAGCGTCATCTCACAGGACAAAAGGCTGCAGGTTTGATTCCCAGTCATAACACATACCCAGGTTGCAGCTTTGATCCCTGGTTGAAGCAAATACAAGGCAACCACTTGATGTTTCTCTCTAACATCAACGTTTCTCTTTCTCCCTTCCATTTTCTCTAAAGAGCTATGAGAAAAAAAAAAAACGTTGGGTGAGGATAAAAAATAACCTGAAACCACATTTCTGGCTTGTGTATTGGCCTAACCTTGAGCAATGTCATACTCTCAAATAAGTACAAAAGCGTGCAGTGCAAATAAATGCATAAAGCACTTGCTGAGCTCCTCAGATTTTTACTTAGTCACATTGTCTTTTAAAACACTGTTGGACAAATTACAAAACAACCAAGAGTCTCTGTAGCCTCCTCGTCACAGCCTACACCTGCCTATTTGAAACCCCCGTTCACAAGTGTGGTGTCTTCACTAGGGAGAAGACCCTCCAAAGGATAAAAATAGAGGCAACATAATTTCACTTATTATTTTAATGAACATTTGGCAGGCATGGGTGTGATTATATAGTAAACTGAAATTGTTACATCACAAATTTAAGAGCTTATCTTTGCTGAACAGAACAAGTTATAATTGGCAATATTACAATATTAATAAAACCAGAAGTATTTTAATGTGGCTTCTTGCTCTGTTGATTCAGTCCCGTTGCCCTAATTTGAACTATGTGGGGCACACAGTACAGTGGAAGGTTATGAGGATATCATTTTATCTAGAATGCTGGCTTTTAAATGAAATCAGTAGTAAAATATGTAAATGTCAAATGTATTTAATTATAGAAGTAACGTAACATTCAAAAGTTTGAAAAGCAGAAAATACTAGAGTTGCCACAATACTAAAATCAATTGTTAGTGTACATTTTGTATGTAAAAATGAGAATTAAAAATGTTGGATCCTGCTTTTGTCATCAATATTTCATCACAGTAATTTATCCACATTATATAATTTGCATAAATATTGGAAAATGTTGCACCTTATGTGTAGAATGTGGAAAACTTGGAAATCCATTAGAGAAGTTAAGATATTTTTTAAAACCTTAAAATCTTACAAAATCAGGACTACAAACATTTATTTCAATTTTGAAATTTGATTAGAATGTTTTTAACATTTCTAAATATTGAATTTCCCCCAACACATTGGATAGTTTAACAGGACAAAAAGATCAAAGAGTTAATATATTTCTTTCATCAATGTTGATAACTTAACATTTTTTCCAGTGAATTTATTTCTTAACAAACTTCATTTGGCCTGCATTCTAACACTGGCAAATATTTGAAATCAAAATTTTTCTTCCACAGGCCACCCTTCAAACCTATAAATCTGACTTTCCCAGGTACTATACGATAGACCTCCAAAGATGCAGATGGCTTTATTTCACCCCAAATCTTTGTTATCCTCTTTACTATCTTTGAGGAGGAGTCCTGGAGATGACGTTAGACCATGCTGTTAATTTCCATGCGCTGGCTTATGATTCCACAGACAGAAACTGGCCCCAGGCTGGCTGCACTCCCATAGCATGGCCCTGGGAAAGAAGTTACTGTGTTGGGCGCTCAGAGGAAATGGCCTCTTCACAGGTGGCTAGAGTTTTCCATGGGGTAAAACATGGTTGTTGCTTTTTAGCTTCTTGTTAGTGTCTTCCTTTGGGGAAGTGTTGAATGTAATACATAAAAGAAAGACAAGCATTCTTTGTAGACACCATGTCTGTGATTTTAGCTCAAACCAAAAGTGACTTTAAAGACAACTGACCCTGCTCCCTAATTTTTGCTACAACTGCAGTACTGTAGATGGATTATTATGGAACAAAGTTAATAATTGCGGAAGTCTTTCCCAATATGTACCAACTTTAAAATAATAATCCTGCAAAAGTTAACATATTCAGTTGCCTATAGGTTCATTATACATGTTTGACCTTGAATAGAACACCCAAAAGGACCATAGCTTAAAACTAGGTGTACTCTCTGTATTATTTAAAGCAGGGGTGTCAAACTCATTTTCACCGGGGCCATATCAGCCTCAAGGTTGCCTT